TATTTAAATAAATTAATTTAAATTTTATGAAGATGTCATTTTTTGTCTTTTTACATTTATTAGCTTATCAAAAATTTAAATTTACCAAACAATTTCAAGCTTAACAGCTCTTCAGTTTTCAGCTCCTAACGTATAACTATTTAGCTAAGTTTGCTAAACATAGCCTTAGTTTTATTTTTAATTTGAATTGGATGACTTGGGTAGATTCGTATTCTCCAGGACAAGAGGTTTAATTTGATATATTATACGTCCAAAATGATTAATGAGTACACGAAAAATTGATTCTAAAAATATATTCATTTACGTATGGAAAATGGAAATAAAAAAGCTTTTAAGTAACTTTTGTCTTACATTGAAAGAGAGTATTACTTGTACGTGAATATATACAATTTAATTTTTTTAAAAAATTGAATATAAGATGTTTGTAATAAAATTAATTCAAATGGTACTTTTTCCCCATGTGTTATATGCTTATAGCACTTTTTTCCCCTGAGTTATTCATGCATTCACATTTGCCACCTCAATTATTATAGAAGTGGCGGTTTTTCCCTCTGATAATATTAAATGGACATGTCTACCCTTAAAACAAATATTTTATTTATTTCTCTTCTTCACCAAATTATTGCTTATACGTAGGGATGACCACGGTTCGGTTCGAACTGAACCAAACACTATAGCAATCAAATTAAAAAATTTCGGTTATGATTCATAACATAACCCAATATTTGGGTTTCCGTTTATTAAAATCGTGAACTGGAAAAAAATGGATCTTGAACCGTGAACCGGAGGTTCAAATCGGAACAACTACTAGCAATAGCTTAAATTAGAATTATAATATTTGCAAATAGTGTATATTTTTTTCCGCATTTATATTGAGTCTCACATATAAGTATATATAATCCCGATTTGAGTTTTATTTTGAACCGTCGGTTCACGATTTTGGATCCAATTTGAACGGTTGGTTCAAACTTTCTTTTAAAATTTTATTTTTTATTTTAAAAATATTCTAAATTTAATACTTAATGTATTTTATTTTTTCAAATCGTGGTTATAATTTGTTAGAGAAGAAAAAGAAATGAAATATTTATTTTAAGGGTAAATATGTCCATTTAATATATCAGGGGGAAAAACTGCCACTTAAATAATTTAGGGAAAAAAAGTGCTATAAGTATATAACAAAGGGGGAAAAAGTGTCATTTTTCCTTTGATATACTTAAAGATTACTCACAACGTTTTTTTTTTTTTTCTTTTTTTTATACTCTTTATTATTATTTTTTTTCATGTTTTTCAAAATGTGTAACACACACACGTTACTCTTACTACAATGTTTATATTGTTTACAAAATTGCCACCTATAAACTTAAAAATTACAGTAATTAGTACGTAATAAAATATTGTAAAATAAGCACACGTAATAAAATATTGGTACTTGGAGGTAATAATTTAATATTAAAATTTCAACAAACATCATAATTACCCAAACTGACACTGATTCCTCTGTCACTAATTTGAAATACCCAATTCCCCAGGGTAGAATAGTATAGGGCAATCCAGTTTCTAGTCTCACCGCCCAAGCCTCTAACCTACTCCCAAAACTAATTTATGTTTCAAAACGTAAATTATAATGTGGAAGTGGAACATGGTCCACTTTAAAAACTGCACTATTCATAAATATTTATTTGTAATTTGTAATATATTAAAGGTTAATGGTAAAAAGTATAAAAAGTATGAATAAGTGTCAAATAGACCATCAAATTACACACGATAACACAATTAAGCTACTGAACTTACAAAATCAACAATTAAATTCCTAAACTAATCAGTTTCAAACAATTCTTTCAATTTGAAAGTTTCCAACAGGTCATTTCCAAAATTAATTATTTTTTTTAAAAAATAAATTTAAAAAAAAAAAAAAAAAAAAAAAAAAAAAAAAAAAAAAACTGGACTCCAAACCTAAAGATTGAGGTACATAAAATTTCACGAGCTTAACACATTATGTACATATTCATAGTACTAGAGGTCATATAAACTCAATACATTAGAATATTAGATACATAAACTCAAAACATTAACTATAAAAGGTTGACAAACTTGATACTACACCAAATCATTGTCCAAAATACAATGTAAATTATGGTCTACGATATAATTTTCGATCAAATATGAGCGAGTACTTATTATAATTTATATAGAAACCGTTTTGTTTAATAATGAGCTTCATATGGGCTTTTGAAGGAGGAATTGGTCTATAGATATAAACGTTTGGGCTTGGTTGCCCACTTATCTAATGTCACGGGCCAAATGCACTATTTCACTCATAAATAAAAAATAAAAAATCAGTCATAAATAAGGGACTGAGTCGTTAATATGATATAACTCATGGACCAAATATATTATTTTTCAAAAAATAAACAACATCATCTTCTTACTCATGACTATAATTAGTTTCTTCATTATAAAATTTTAAAAACTTTTCTATCAATTTTTTTTTTTAAATCAAGTTTTAAATTATTTACAAAAAATTTATGACCGGCCACCCGACAAAGTAAAAATTATTATTTTTTTAAATTGAAATTTCTGCACACTCGTTAGGTAGCCAGAAATTTTGAAAATTTCTTGTAGGTTGTAATAAAGGGAAGTAAATCTTCTCCCAAAGGTCGAATCCCCAACCATAAGGGCCCTCCACACTTCGACCCGACATAACATGTGATAGGATGTAAAGGGAAATAAATCTAGTTTTATTAAATGGTAAACGATGTTGTTATAACTAATTCATTAAAGATAATTTTGTAAAGGTGGAACTAAGTCAAATATTACACATTATATATGTGGAGGGAGAAACACGAAAATTCACACATTATTTATTCTCCTACAAATTTACAAATCTAGAACTAAGTCAGCTAGCATAAATTTTTTAAATCAATAATAAACTCAATAGAATGAAATATTATGAACTCAGTAACATAAGTTTATAAATCTGAAACTAAGTCAACTAGCATAAATTTTTAGAATCAATAAACTCAATAGAATAAAATATTATGAACTCAATAAACATAAATTTATAAGTCTGGAACTAAGTCAACTAGCATAAATTTTTGGAAACAATAAACTCAATAGAATAAAATATTATAAACTCACACTATAAATATCAGGACGTAAAATATAGAAGGCATCCATCTCCCAAATTTTAAGAAAAACTCTCACAAACTATTTTATTATGGCATTTATCAAATGGATGCATTTGTGTGTTGCTCTTGTAGCAATAAGTGTTTGTAATGAGGCTCATTTCATTGAAGGGAGACAACTTATAGCATTCAATAATCGAGAGCTTAGCTTTATTGAGCATAAAACAATAAAGCCGGTGGGAGACAATCCAGGTCACAGCCCAGGCATAGGCCATTCTCCCAAAAAATATGAAGCAATAAAGGCAATAGGAGATGATCTACCACCTATAGGAGACGACTCATCAGGTCCTAGTCCATCAGGTGAAGGCCATCATTCCAAAAAATATGAAGCAATAAAGGCCGTAAGAGACTATCCACCACTTATAGGAGACGAGTCATCAGGTCCTAGCCCACCAGGTGAAGGCCATCATTTCAAAAAATATGAAGCAATAAAGGCTGTAAGAGACGATCCGTCACTTATAGGAGACGACTCATCAGGTCCTAGCCCACTAGGTGAAGGCCATCATTTCAAAAAATATGAAGCAATAAAGGCTGCAAGAGACGATCCACCACTTATAGGAGACAAGTCATCAGGTCCTAGCCCACCAGGTGAAGGTCATCATTCCAAAAAATATGAAGCAATAAAGGCAGTAGGAGATGGTCATCCATCACCTATAGGAGACGACTCATCAGGTCCTAGCCCACCAGGTGAAGGACATCCTTCCAAAAAATATGAAGCAATAAAGACAGTAGGAGATGATCCACCACTTATAGGAGACAACTCATCAGGCCCTAGCCCACCAGGTGAAGGACATCCTTCCAAAAAATATGAAGCAATAAAGGTAGTAGGGGACAATCAAGGTCGCATCCCAGGCATTGGCCATCCTAATAACAAATTTTAAGCTAAGGCATAAGAGATTAGATTGGCACAAACCTTACTCTTTTTCATCAGATCATTTTTACTCGTTGGGACGATGTAATGTGTTGTATCTCCATATGGTAACAATGCATATTATGATTTGATGACTATTATATTTGACTTTGATGCATGAATCTAGCTTATTTGCATATTACTTGAAGACAAGTAACACGTATTAATGAATTTTGGAAAAAAAAAAAAAAAGTGACATTTTTCCTGTATTTATTAGAAAGAATGGTTGTATTCAATTAAAAAAATAATTCTTTTACTTCAAAACATTGAAAAATAAAGGGAACAAATCAACGCATTAATAATTTAAGACTCATATATCATCCTTAAAAATGATAAAATTAAGTTTGCAATCTAGACAGTGACATGCAGAAGGAGATGGGATTTGGGACAAATTATATCGTGCACCAGGACGGTCGCACAATGCATTATGCGTCCTGACTCAAAACGATGTCATTTTTATAAGTCGGGGAGTCGTGTATTATGTATTATGTGTACTATGTTAGGAGTTTATGTGTATTTTATTATTTTACTATACAATTTTGTACATACGAAACATGGATTTTTTATGCGCGCGCCCTGGTGCACGATATAACGACTGCGGTTATATTTGGGGGGCCGGGGAGGGGGGGGGGGGCATGCATAATCTTGTTTTCAATCTTTTTTTTTTTTTTTTTTTTTTCGAGTTCTACTAATTATGTTACAATGTAGTGTCTGTTTATAAACTACTTTCTCAACCTACTAAAGCACAAAGAGTCAATACCGTCCCCTCTGAGACTCGATCTCATGACCTCCCAATTGGGAGAGCTACTTTGTTCATTGTTGTGATAATTATTTAGATGAGGTTATAATCTTGTTCCAGAATGCTAATCCTGCATTGAATAAGTACTCAAATGTTGCATTAAATATAGAGAGAAAATTTTGTCTATACTACTACTATCAATGTTCGGGTCAAAAACTAAAAATGTGACGATATACAAAACTAGTAATAAATGACAAAACGTTACAAGTCCATAACTAAATTAAACTCTGATCTGAACTTAATTACATCGTGGACCAGGATCTATAATGATTCAATACACAGAATTTAACTTTATAATGTACAGAATTCAGGTTTATAATGCACAGAATTCATGTTTATAATACACATACACATAAACACGATATAATAAACATGAATTCTGTGTATTATATAGTTGAGGACACATAAACACTTAACATAATACACAGAATTCATGTTTGTTATATCGTGTTTATGTGTATGTGTAACATGAATTCTGTACATTATAAACATAAATTCTGTATATTATGAACATGAATTCTGTGTATTAGATCAGGGTCCACGATATAACGATGGGATATCGAGAGCGAAAAATGATCTATTATCACATGATGGAACAGGCATTAGGGTTATCATCACTGAACATGGAGATGAACCTCTCAGTGTCTGGGGTTGGATTAACAGCATGAGGAACATTTCGGACATAACCAGATGGAGCCTTCTTGTCATAGGCACCAGAAACGTAAGGATAAGACACTAAATCAACCTTAACATAGGGCCAAAACTCTGCCCTCTTCCCTGTGCTTCTCACCTTCTCTAACACCCTCTTTGGCTCAACAAAACCTGTTACTATCAACCTGCTTTGCTTTCTGTTCACCTCCACTGTTTTCACTCCTGCAACCCAGCTTTAATTATTCAATATAATTAATGGAAACAATAACTTTTTTTAAAAAAAATTAATATAATATATGATCTATCATTATTTTTAGTGACTGTGTTGAAACTTAAGGTGCGTGATTTTTATGCTTAAGGTTTATCAGTTGTTGAAACTTAAGGTGTACTATTTTAAAACTTTAGGTGTGTGGTTTGTGTTCTTGACGTGCTTTGTTTGTGTGCTTAAGGTGCGCTATTTTAAAACTTTACCTGCGTGGTTTGTGTTATTAAGGTGCTTTGTTTGTGTGCTTAAGGTGAGTGTTTTGTGTACTTAAGGTGCGTTTTTTTTAGTTAACCGCACAGGAAGCTATACCGCACCTGAACCCTTATATATATATATATATATATATATATATATATATATATATATATATATATATAACAAAGGGTCTTCCCAAAAGGTTGAATCTCTAACCGCAAGGGCCCCCACACCCCGGCTTGATAGAGCATTTGGAATTATGTAAATCACCGTGACTCAATGACTCAGCAGAAATGGCCAAATGCTGATGCGCAAAAGGGATCTGCTCACTTTAAACATAATCTCACACTACCGCTGTCAAAATTCGAACCCTACTAAACCATTGAACTAAACATTATGTGTGGGCTGAGCTGTATTTTATGACTACACAAAGGGGGTCTATCTACGTTCTGGTTCAAGTAAATAAACCCTAAAAGTATTATTAAATCACCGCCTTTGCAACACACATAACAAATACAAATCCTTGTACAAAATGAACAAACACTAAAATGCTAGATTACTTTGTGTACGAGGAGAGAATCAGGCTCTTAAACTTTAAGGTGATGGATTCTTACACCTGGCCTAATACTAGATAGAGCATATATATATATATATATATATATATGTATATATAGGAATCTTGGCCAATACAAAACTTTAATCTTTTGGTACATATCCATATCTTTATTATATTACTCCATTAGATTAGATGTTAGATTAATCTTACAAGCAATTAGTATGAGTAAGAATCTAACTAATAATTAATATATTAAATTAATTTTAAAAAATTGTTATCATGGAGTTTTCAGGCACATAATAATAAATAAAAAATAATTCTGTACTAAACGATCCAACACTTAAAGTTGATCACTTTGTGTACGAGGTAAAAATTAGGTTATTGAACTTAAATGTGATTTATAAAGAGGTAGAGAGATGTGATGATACCTTTAAGGAGAGAAACAGCATTTTTCACCCTCCTCTCACAACCATCACAGTCCATTTTTACCTTGATTTCCACTGTCTGAATTAAATGATGACAACAGAATTATATTTTAAAAACAAAAACACAAAATAAATGTCTTTTATAAGGCTACAAATATAGTATTGTGTGATGGATATACATACATACATATATACTCACACATGAACAAGAAGATGGATATATGTTACCTGCAAGTTTTTGTGTTTGTTGCGGCTTTTGTTTGTGCTTATCTCAAACTTGTCGAATAGATTATTAAGAAACCCCATTAATGTTGTCCCCTTTCTTTAGTTTGTTGTGTTTTTGAGAGAGAGAGAGAGAGAGCTTAGGAGAGTGAAGCTAATGGTGTTGGTGAGGAATTGGGGAATGAGACAGTACTCATTGTCTGCCTCTATGGGCTGTCTATATATATAGATAAATATATACCCAGTTTTCTAATCAGGTGAGAACCAACATTAACCTGTAAACTGCGAATTTGAGAAGAATTGCACCGCAACTAGTACATGATTACACTGTTACGGCTCCCCGATATGCCTAAAAGACTGTACGGTGCAATCGTATCTGAGTGCAATGTAATCCTTCACAAATTCGCAGTTCGCAGATTAGAGTTAATTCTCACATGATTATGGACCTATATACCTAAATGTGTGCTATGCACACAGTACACCTGGCATCAATAGTGGATGGTTGTCAACAAAGCTATGGTTGAAATGAAGAAAATGACTTTCTCTATTTCATTAATTTAAAAATTGTTGTGCCGCAACTTGTAGAGTTAAATTCAGTATCTTGCCATTGAAACTATTTGACTGCTACACAAGTATAAGGAAATAAAGTTACCCCTTCAATTCGCTACTATTTTTAACTTTTGGTATAGTGATAAATGCTTGATTCTAACAAAAACGCATAGAAAAACACATTTTAAGATAAAGAGAAATATGTACTAATTAAATTAATATTGACATATAAGCACCATGGAAAAAATGTGATCTAATAATCAGTTAAAAATTTATCATAAAAGGTGTTTGAGTAAGTGAAACATGATATTCGTATCAGAAGGTCCTGAGTTTGATTTTTGCCAATACCTTCTCGATCAAGCTTAGTCATATGTGATTTTTCTAGTATGATTTATCTTTTCTGTATGATTTACAGACTATATATTACACTATACTAATTGAACAAAATATGGAGTTTTACATTGTAATGGAATCATTGGCCTGACTTATGCTTGTCTGAATCAAAAGAATCAAATAAAGTTTAATTTTTATTATCACGATTCTTTCTTTCTTCTTTTTTTCCCCTTTCGCTATAGTGGAGTGTTGATTCCCTTTCCATTACAACAATAAATGAATGAATAAATAAATAAATAGAAAAAACAAAAGAGAAGACAAATCCCATGTTGCTCTAGCCAACAACATTATACATGTTTGATGTTTCACTACATTTCTCACAAGAATGTACCCAAGAAGCGTATTGGTTTGAATTGGCCAGTTATGCGTAATCAATAATGATTTAACGGCTAGCTAGACTGAGCGTATTTTCGAATAGGGGCTTCAAGCTTTTCAGTAAATCAAAAGATAGTGAATAGCATTATCCGATAGTAGTTTCCAGAAGAAAGGGGTTTTTGACCCTATATAATTGTAAATATATTATAGCAGAATTCGAACAGCTATAATATAGGGTCATTGAATTTTAACCAAATCAAACAGTTAAAAGTGGTTAAATAAATTAAAATTGACTGATAAACTAATTATGTTATCAAATAGAGCTATAATGCGGAGACATGATTGAATCTTCGAGAAGTTGGAATCTGGGCGATGGAACGTACAGTCGCCGTCGAAGCGGAAATTAAAGTGAACGGCAAAGAATAAATTAAAGGTGATGAGAAGAATAAAGAGATCAATGGATAAGAGAATAAACTTATTATATATATGGCTATATTTAGAGACGTCTTTGAACAAAAAAAGTGGACTAGATAAGGATTGCAACACTTGGACTTCATAAGTATCATACCTCAAAAGTTATATGTAGCAACAAAATAATAATAATAATAATAATAATAATAATAATAATAATAATAATAATAATAATAATAATAATAATAACAATAATAATAGTAGCCTGAAAGTTGTATTAAGTTAACCCAACAATTTGATAATAGTTGGTAAGCGGACGGCTAATGTGATTCTTATAAAGGACTTGAGTAAGAGTTAAACTCGGAGTACTGAGAATACCATATACTATGTCAAAAAAAAAAAAAAGGAAAAAAAAAATTGTTTTAAATAAGTGAACAGATACCGAATACTATATGTCAATAAAAAAGGTTGTATTAGGTCATGGCAAACATTGTTGCATATGCTATTGGCCTATTGTTACATTTTATTTTATTTTTTGTCAGACCATAAGGTATCCTGAGTAGGCCCTAACTGTAGGAGAATCTTTAAGTTCATATCATACCCCTTTTTTTTTAGGAGAATCTTTAAGTTCATATCTTACCCCATTTTTTTTGTCAGACCATAAAGTATCCTGAGTAGGCCCTAACTGTAGGAGAATTCAAACTCCTGACCTCTCTTAGAGCATCCACATTAGTTGGAGAGATTTGGGAGATAATGTAAGAGTGATTAGGAAAGAGAATGTGGGAGGGGGAGAAAAAGAAAGAAAAAAAAATAACAAAACAAAAATTGAAAATAAAAAATAATAAAAAATCTGCCGCGTCAGCGCGCCTGACGCGCTACACGGGCGCGTGCATTGCACGCGCCCGTGTAGACATGGCTGTGCGCAAACGCGCACAGCCAGTGTTCTTTCTTTTTTTTTGTTTTTTCTTTTTTTCTGACATTATGCTTGAATTTGCAGAGCAATTCTTTTCACAAATAACCCCACCCCACATTTGTTATTATCCCCACCCAAGTTAATAGATCTGACATTATCTCCTCTTTCACCATTGATGTGGATGCTCTTAAGGGACAAGAGCGCACAGTCACTCACGCCAACCAAGCTGGTTGGCGTATTGTTACATTGATGCAAGGTAAAATTACATTGTTTATTAGTGGCCTGAGAATCCCTCGCCCCTTGTCATGGGGATGTGCCTCAGTGACGAATAGTCTGAGTGCTTGCTTTTTGTTTCAAAGCTGACTCTTCCCTATTAAGAATTTGAATTCAGGTATTTGTTGAGTCATTAACTCACATTCAATTTTTCGATCACTGAGCTATGTTCTAGGGCATCTCCACTAAAGCTGCATGCAGCAATAATCATTCACACCAGGCCAGAAAGCAAGTTCATACTCACCAAAAATTGTTGTCTTTTGTGAGCTATTTTACTTTACCTTTTCTTCTTCTTTTGCATGCATGCTCAAGTCTTTCACACTTGTTGACAACCACTTTTGGTTCAACAACTCAATAATATTGACTCAGCTGAAAATAGCAATCATTGTACTGGAGTTAGCCCATATTTTTCAGAGATTGATATTTTTAAGGTGTAATAATTGATTAATTACTTAGTTTTTTTATTAAAAAAATTAAATAAAATCAAAATCTGATCACTACATAACATATCACATTAAACACAAATAAATAAATAAAAACAAAAAAAAAGGAGTTATTCAAGTATTTTTCAGCCTCAAGTAGCTGGGAAACTTTTGTTAATTACCTACTTATTTTCGATCAATTTCAAAATATTTGCGCATTTTCTCTTTAGACGACCCTCTCACATTGTCAAATACCAGTGTATCAAAGGATTTTATAATGTGTCAATAGTATTTAGTACAATTGAATATATTATGCTTGATTGTACTGGATACTGTCAACACTGGTGACAATATATAGTTCTTGAAACAACTAGCTAGCTATACAATATTTTAAGTATACTCAATGTTATGGGCATAGTAGATCCCCAAACTATCAATCAAATGGGATGTCAATTTTTCCCATCCCTGACAAAGATGAGAAAAAAATTTGAGCAGCGTGGATGGGGATACCCCTTCCCGCCAACCCCTTCCTCGATAATATAATTTTAAAAAATATATTAGTATTTATTTTAAAATTTTTTAATTATTCCCAATTTGAAATTAAATAATTAATCCTATTGTATTTTCATGTTGAAGTATTGGACATTTGGACTATTTGTAGTTTGTATTTGCTATTTTGATTGTTATTGAAAACTTGTTAAATGTTGATCGTTGAAGAACTATAGACTTATTGACTTAAGTATTTCAATTTTTGAAATTAAGACTTAAGTTTTCAATTTTTTTTATTTAATTATTAAAAATTATACTAATCTGACACTTTGACTATGACAGGAGAATGAAATTTCCTATCCCCGCCTTATTCCTGTGGGCCCTATTCCCCACAAGGACGGGGGTAGGGAATTGGGCGGAGACAGGGATACTTCAGGGTCACAATGATGTCCACGCCCTATTCCCCACGGCGACGGGGGTAGGGAATTAGGCGGAAACAAGGATAGTTCGGGATCAAACAAAAGATAGATTATAAACTCCATGTAATGTATTGGATTCCACCTAGTTAAGGTTAAGGTATCCTTTCCACCATGATTGGGAGGTTAAGGTTTAGCTGATGTTAATGAAAAGGGAATCATTTGAATGGAGATTTGATCATTCACAGGCTGAAATAATTCATCCATTGAAGGTCAGCAATAATGGATTCAATTCAGTTCACAATATAATGTTACAGGAGAGAGAGTTGAATGATTAAACTAAAGGGCACAACTGAACATTTCAATAAGTATAGATGAACACAGTGGGAGGGAGACTCTTCTTGTTGAAGGAACAATGGCTTCTCTCCTGGACCACAACCCAACCCGAAAAGAACTCAACTTTTGCCCTTTCAGGCAATATAAACAACACGGGTGGTGGCCTTTCACGAGAGAAGAAGAATCTCCCCGAAAAGAATTGTATGTCACGAAAAATGTATCTCGATAGGGAGTGTTTCCTTCGAACCTGGCCATTATCGGGACATTTGGTGTCGGTACCCTTTCGTTGTTGTCGTCATCTGCATTGATTTGACTGCGATTGCCACTCCTCGATGAGCTTGCTCACGGATGCCGCCAGCCGTTTCGCCTCGGGCCTCCCCGTCTTCAAAACATTGACGTCGCCCCATTGCGAACAGGGATCCATCAGCCAGCTCTTCCGGCCCGTGCACCAGGCCCCGGGAGCGACACGGTTACGGCCCCGCTCGAGGATGTTCTTGTCGATCATGTCCAGTACCGGGCCGTCTTCCCCAAACTGCCGGGCGAAAGCCGCCCCGCTTTGGACCATGCCCTCGTAGTCCGACGCGTTGAGGAAGTGCGGTTCCATCTTGGGCGGATTATCCCAGACGAAATATCTCAAGTCACCGTTAACCGTCGTGTTCTTGAACTCTAAAGAATTGCAAATTACGGAGTGGAAATAGACTTCTTGCGACAAAACTGAATTCGTGAAATACATCAAAAGGGTTCTCGGGAGATTGTCCCAGCCGAAAATACAGAACTCGAGGAACGAACGGCTTAAAATAACCCACGGAGAGCCTGAAATCGAGATCTAAATCAATCTTCAAAACGTCTGAATTCTTCATTTCTTCATATACAAACAAAGTGCAGAGAAGAGTGTTACCTGTGAAAACTCTAAAAGACTCGGGCATCGGTCGTTTTTGACTCGCATAAAAAATTTGCGTCCTCCTAGCCAAATAAATCCCGGGATCAACCACTACGGGCATAACTCGTTGATCCCTACAATGACATTCAATCCAGTAAAATATTTTATCACCGAAAAATTCGGGACCTATATAATAATATGCATATTTCAAGAGTTTAGCTTTGCCTACTTTTTCCATCCAAGATCACTGGAGTGGTCAATGAAATTCAGATCTCTCCTAACATACGAGAAGACATGGGATAAGTCTGAAACCAAAATCAAAAGTCAACTTTAAATGTTAGTCAGGGTAAAATAAGCAAGAAAGAAATTAGTTAATAATATACAATACAATGCATTCACAATCAAGAAAAGCTAAGTTCCCAAAATTCATTAGAATTTAAAGGCGAGTTATGAAGATTTTGTGAAAAGAAAATATAAAAATAAGAGTTATGCTAGTATCCTGCACACCCCTCCTAATTCCCCTTCTTGAGGTGGCACTATCTAATTGGAATCTTTAGCGTTTGACTAAAAGTATGTGGGATCAGCCAATTCATGCCACCCAATGAATATAAGCCACATCATGAAGGGAAATTATTAGGGGACACTTAGGAGGGGAAAATAGTATTTTCCATAAAATAATACTTTGTAGTTATTAATGTAGAAGCAATAATATCAATAACTGTGGCATCAAGTTGACTAACAGAGACCCTTGAATTAAGGGTTGATCTAGGAATACTTGGAGTAGCCATCCCTCTTGTACTCAACTAGGTTATACAGAGGAAAATAGTATTGCTCTTAAGGCCAATGTCGAGCGCACCTTGTTGTGATGTACTACTATGATGTGGATTAACTAGATTTTTGTGTAGTTTGGCAGTTCCTCTATACCTAGGGGCATCATTTCAAAATTGGTAACTACAAGGTTACAAATTCGACTCCCAGTGAGAGCAGCCTAATGGCCTTCTTGATTTGAGCTGGTCAACTATGGGCAACCTAGGCTACTTTATCTCCTTGAGGTCTTTTGCCGGCTAAGGTCACAAGGCAGGGTTTACCCAGTAGTGGTTGCGGGTTTCCCTCGTCACCCAAAACAAAGAAATGGTTAAGCAAATCAATGACCAAATACTACTAGATTTTGGCTTCTATGGAAAGGTATCCTTCCCCATGACTCAGCTTCCACAAACAAATTCATCAAGAATTTCGCTACTTGTCCCACAGGCAAGATCAGGGTACCCTCCTCTCTCCAATCAGCTCTAGCCGGACTTTCCTTCTCAGGCAGGATTTGTCCCGCCTACAAGACAAGTGGCTCTTTCCATTTGTCAACGAAGACAAAGAAAAGGGAACAAATTATTCATGGATCCTTAATCCTTTGACACCAAGATCAAACTTAGAATCAACACAATAATTATGGTTCACAAGGTGGGTGTTAAAAGGGGAAACAAAAGTGTGTTGTTGCTAGAGATGGCGTAATCCACCAAAGCACCAACATATTTCTGCTATAGGTCTACATATACATAAGAAAGAACGCAAACACTATATAGGGAAAAACTAGTAAATTTGGAAAATTAATATACATGTTTTCAACATATAAAATGCAAAGTACTTACTTCTTAGTTCTTATCATATACCTATTGTAACATATCAATCAAACAGCTATCATCTAACAGCTTTACAAAGCAAGACAAAACTAACCAAAACGCATCGAATTCAAAGGCAATACATACCATCTTGGCTAACCAGTGGATAATCCCGGGCGCTAAGAGTAATAAACCAATCCCATCCACTATCCACCTTCAACAGAATGGCAGCAGCCCTGAGAATTGCTGCAATGTGTGTTGATCCCATATAAGTCGCGGGATCTGGCTTCCCAACCAAATCGACATTGCCAAAAGCCCGAATCGCGGGCACCGACTTTACAAGCACCCCGAGTTTCCTCCTCTCGTCCTCACTCCCCTCCACCCCGACGTGCAACAAGTATCTATTCCTCGGGTGATAAAGCGCTAGCAATAGCCTAAACATCCTCTCCGCCTCCCCCTTACCGCCCGAGATGTAGTAAGCAAAGGCCGGGGGATGCCCCGGCCCACGGTTCACAATTGAGGTAAACGGCCTATCTGAGGAAAACGCATAGTACGATGAACTAAAACCAGTAATTGAGGACAATAATATGAGACCCGATATGAAAGCAGCAGAGAAGAGTGCATATAGCCATTTCTTCCCAGCTACCGAGTTCTTCATTGCCCTCCTATACAATATTGGGAACATTGAACCAGCATACATAAAATAAGGTTAAAATTTCTGATAAAAAAATGTCTTCTAGGTTCTGGACACTAAAGAAGATCTGGGCTACCATTAAACACGAGAGATCACCATTTCTGAGCTGAAACTGAAATGAACTTGCACTAAACAAACGAAAAAAAGAATCTTGGAACTACTATTCAATAGAAAAAGGAACAATTTCTCCCCTGAAATGGGTTTATTTGAATCTTGGGACTTGGATGACCGAGAATTTGAGCGGAGAATCAGCTGAACTGTGGCTGGCAACTAGCAGCAAAGGTGAATCAGACCAGCTAGGCTGACAGTGGGGCGAATGTCAAGGATGTCTGAATCTGAAGAGAGAGAAAGAAGGGAGAGAATGTCTTAGGGTTTGGGGCTTTGGGTTCGAATGTTGGAAGCTGGAAGAGTGAAAGGTAGATTTCGATGATGTTGGAGATGGAAAGGAGATGTTTCAAAGAACAAACTGTACAGCTTTTTTTCATTTTTGACCTAAGTGAAAGGTTAAAAGTTATTTTTTGTATCAAATATGTGCCCTTTTTTTTTTATTACTGCGAAGTGTTTAATTCTCCTCACTATCTAAAATATAGTGTAATTAGACAAATTAACTTCTTAAAATTGTTGAATTAACTTTTTTCTAGATTTTTCTCCAATTGTGATGACTTAATAGCCTATTAAAATGATGTGGCATGATAAAATATTATAATGTGTTGTTATTTCATAATATAGTTGGATATTACCAAAATCTCCCTAAGCTATATTTTTTCAAATACGAACCAAAACTCACCGATTGAAGACGGCATTTCAGCCACCGACGTCGGCGGAGCAGGTGAAAACTCCATTGACGACGGTTTCTCCTGCTGAAAACGCCCAATCAAGGTTAGTTTTCCTTCTTCGAGCACCAGATTACTACATTCCTCACATTTGATTGACACAATCGGCATTCCTTCCAAGTTCCTCCCCGTCACCTCATATTCGCCTTTAATAATCCTCGATTTGCCTATCTCGCTCGCTTGATTTCTATAAATTGATTGTCGATCGTGAAAAATTTGCCTTGAATGTGGTCGATTTTGTCTTGGATTTAGATTAATCAACGATTGAAGGCCTCGTTGGACCCCTATCACCGCCATCCCTGGCGGCTTCTAACTGACCGAGAAAATCTTTTGCAAGCAAAATATATGTTGTATACGGGAAATTAAATGAATAACAGAATACTATTCATACGAAAATCTATGCATTTTGGGTCCGATCGTCGGAGAAGTTGCAAAAGACGAATTTTGGATCGCGATGTAAGACTTCGCAGGAGGTCGCCGATCTTAAGATTGAAGATTGCAATCCCATATTCACTTATGAGTGGCGAAGCTTTGAGAAGGTTGCGGAATGGCATCGCGCGAGCTCTGATTATCCATGCAAAGGCGCGATCTTCGGCAAAGCTTTGAGTGACGCAATCGGAATTTGATCGCGTGACGTCTCTGCTGACTTCCGATCCCCAATTCGAGCGACACCGGTAAAGGTGAAAACTGAGCGATTCTGGTGGGTGTGTTGATGATAAAGACAGTGGTGGGAGGTTGACTAGGATGAAGGGACTGCCATGTCATTAAATTTATTTCCAGGTCAACCAGGTGGATTGGGCAACCTGGTGGTAACTTGTGAAAAAAGTTTAATCAAACAATTTTAGAAGGTAAATGTGCCTGATTACACTCTATTTTAGATCGTGGAGAGAATTGAACACTTCGCACTAGTAGATGTGCCTATTTGACACTTCTATTTTTTTTTTCCAAGTTGGCATTTTATCTACAAAACTAATAAAAGCCAATAAAGTTAGACCCTATCGGGGACTAAAAAAAAAGTATTGGTGTAATTATTTGTTGAAATCAATAGTTCATATTATTTTAATCGGGAGTTGGTATGGGACGAAGATATCCTTCATTGTATTCGTGATTTGATTTTACAATAATAGTTCGTTTTGATGGTTGTTTTCAAAAAAAAAAAAAAAAAAAAAAACAAACAAAATTTAACATAAACTTTGGTCAGTTAATTAGAATCACGCATTGGGCATGCATTAATGAAACGGTACACATAATTTACAAGATATATTCAACACAAATGAGAAATTATATCTATTATCATTATTTTTTTTGCGAAGGAAGATTTGATTAAGTTTTTGAAGGAGGATTAAATTAAATAGTAACGAGGTCACTAATGAATATGAAAATGTAGTTTTTCATAATTTGTGTAGGTGATTAAATTTTGAATCACTTTTTTTTTTTTTTTTTTTTTTTTTTTTTTTTTTTTTAACATTACTACTTACGACATTGTAGTATTTCAATCAGACAATTATGATACACTCAACAAAATGAATGTCATTTGAAATGAATGTTTTATATTTTTATTAGTTAAGTTTCTATTAATGTCTTTATTGACTAATTGTACAATTATATAACTTTGACATTACCCTAAATTATTGAATGACATATTAAATAAAATCGACCCTAATTTAACAATCAATTTGACATAATGTTTATGATTACATGCAAAATGATTTAAAAAAAAAAATTCAAAAACAGCTTTTTGAATTTTAGCGTTTTGGAGCAATAAGTTGTTACAAGAAGCTAATTAATCAAACACTTACAGGGCGTTTGGTTTGAGGGATTTTAAATTCCCTTCCCACTTAATTCCCACCTAATTCCAAAGGCTATTAAATTCCGTAGTTTAGTTGGAGGGGATTGTAATTCCATGGAATTGCAATTCTCTCATTTTCATGGAATTAAAATCTCATGTCCCCCTGGGATTTTAATTCCTGGGAAATAAAGATAGTGATGAGTCAAAATTACCCCTTCTTTTTTTAACTTAAAATTAATGTTTAACAATAATAATGGACTTTTTGACTTTATACTACTTATTCCCTTTCAATTCCCGTGTATACCAAACATTGGAATTGAAATTCCCAATAATTCTATTCCTGTTAACCAAACACTGGAATTTAAATTCTCACTTTATTCCCAGTAATTCAACTCCGATAGAATTACAATTCCTTTCCCACATAATTCCCCCCTCCAACCAAACGCCATGTTATATTAATTGTTTAACCAAGTCAAACAACTAATAGTGGTCAAATAAGTCACAATGGCTGATAAGCTAATTATGTTACCAAACAAGGCCTATAGTTTCACAAAATATTTTATTTTCAAATTCAAAGTAATGAATTTTCACGTGGTGAGAGAAAAGTAACTCCCTCCATTCGATTTTATGTGTCTAGTTCGATTAACGAGATTTGACTGAAATTATTTTTAATTCAATTTTTCATAATATTGAGTTTAATATTAATTTATATACAAACTGCACTAAAAGTAGTATTAAAAAAATAAATTTAAAAATAAGGAAAAATTACTAAAGAAAATAAAAAATTAGTCTGACCTATGAATAGTAAATATGATAGATAAAATGAGACATATGTGGTATAAGTTACAATTACATAAAACTATAGGGGAGGCATTTATAAATAACTTGAATCTTTGGCATTTTGCAATTGGCATATCTTATCTTCTGCCACGGGACACGTGTTGCCAAATTACGCTCCAAAATATCTCTTCAATATCTCGCAGCCGTTGGTCATTTTCAAGCCATTTCCCGGTTCAACGCTGGCCGATACAAAAACGACGTCGTATAATGCACACTCTCCGCTTTCTACGACGCCGCGTTTAGCAGCGAAGCTTCCCATAATATGAGCTAAGGAGTGAGAGTGAACCAGAAGGAACAACCACCCAGCACTCAACTGAGAAGATATGTTGCCGATTGGTGGCGGTGTAGGGAAGCTTGTAACGGCAGTGGCGGCGGCGCTGCTGCTCCGCCTCTTCTCCGGTCCCGGTCCAGTGGTCTTGCCGGAGAATGAGGAGGACGACGAGAGGAACGGCGAGGAGAATGGAGAGGCTCCGCCTGACGGGAAAGTGTCTCCGGTCACCATTCGGTGGACTGACATTACTTGCTCTCTCTCCGATAATTCATCGAAATCAGTAAGTCTTTGTTAACAGCTCATTATCGTTATTTTATTTCGAATAATTGCATGATAATATATGCGAAGAGTATCTGTCAGACTGTCAATCTAGTGAAAAAAAAGCTAATCCGTATATTTGAACTTGTTTTTGGTTAAATTTTGGAATATTCAATGTTTATTTGATAAGAAACGAGTAGTCAGTGGAAATGAAAATTTGAAGATCATTGGCGTGTAATTCTCGGATTATAAACGCATTGAAACACACATAGAGATATCTGTAATATATTTTTGCTTTGTTGCAGTTGCTATTTACAATGAAAATGTATACCACAGGAAAGTAATATGACATGCAGTGACAATATTCTCTTATATTTGAAGTTTTCCTGAAACATGTTATTTTTTTGAACTCGGAGATTGTAAGATGGTGAAAAGTTTACTGGTATGTTGATGACTCAGATTTCTCATTTTTATTAGCAGCTTGATAGGATATGATGATATAAATTGGCATTGCCGTTATTGGTATAAATAGGTCTCACTTTAATTTTAGAACCTATTGGGCTTCTCTTGGATAGCATACCTAATCATCTAGTGCAGTGGGCTTACTTAAACTAATAAATTTACATGCTTCTCTTTATTATAGTAGGAAATTAAGCTAAAAACCTTTATAAATCTTATTTAAAGAGATGTCTTATAATCATGGTAATTTCACTTCAGTTTACTTGTTTATTTGATTTTCTTGGTTCTCTTTTCCAATTTCAGGTGCGATTTTTGCTTCAAAGTGTCAGTGGAGAGGCCAAGCCTGGGAGGTTGCTAGCAATAATGGGTCCGTCAGGCTCGGGGAAGACAACTCTGCTTAATGTATTAGCAGGTCAGATAAAAGCGTCAACAAAATTGCATTTATCTGGCCTTTTGGAGATCAATGGGAAGCCGTTTTCCAACAAACCTTTCAAGTATGAAAATCTTGAAGAATATTAGAATGACTTTGATACATTGACTTTCCTTAGCAGGTGTATTTGATGGGCCTATGTTTTCAATTTATTGTGCTTGCTATTGCAGGTTTGCTTACATTAGACAGGAGGACCTTTTCTTCTCACAGTTAACAGTTAAAGAAACACTCTGTCTTGCAGCTGAACTTCAGCTGCAGGACCTATCATCTGTGGAAGAGAGAGAAGAATACGTGAACAATCTCTTGTTTAAACTAGGTTTGGTAATGTTGCCTTCTCTTTCTTATTTAATATTTATTTTTTTGCTAGTTAAACCTCAAAAACAGAGTAATAGTTGTTTTCTTTAATGTTTTCTTGGGGCTATTACACACATTCATTTTCTTCTTATAGAAGTTTTACTTCTTGATTCATTTTCAATAATCTTTTGTACTTCCATCTTGACAATTTAGAGTTTATATACATCTGTGTGTATGTTTATATGTATTTTGACATTGTGATGTTACTGCTATTTGCTGAGTTTACATTTTGATGTGTCTT